TTTTTTTGATGAAAAATGACCGTATTAGATCATATTGGTATATTCGCTAATTTTGACTTTCGTGATGCTCCATTATCACATCCTCTCAGTCCATTTGTGGCTATTACGATTTATTTTATTCAATATTACGTTAGAAAATACCGTTCTGGTACTGGATACTCGATAAAGAGATTATTGGCTTATCACAATTTATTACTCTCCGCGGTGTCATTCGTAATGTTTCTACTTATTGTAATACAAATTTATCAAACATTAACTGAATCAAACTATACAGAATATCGATATTTATTCTGTGAAAAGCCGACTCGTCATCCAACTGGTTCATTGTATTACATATCTTATCTTTTTTATTTATCGAAATACTATGAATTACTCAATACAGTATTTGTTTCGTTAAAACATATTATTTTACACATTTTATTTAATTGTTGGAAAGTAAATCCCTATATAGCGGACTGTTTATTTAATATAGATATTTTATCCAATTTATATGAAAGTAAATCCATTGTAGCAAAAAACATATATATCTCCTTTTCTGTAAGAAAAAAGCTAATTAAAATAAAAATTAATCATCGGAAAGTAAATCCTGTATACCAAAGAATACATGTATATTTTTATTTCTTACGGTTCATGTTTAACTTGTTAATTAAAAAGTGTGCGCAGTTTGAGATCACGTACATTTCAAATTTATCTAATTATGTGCAGAGTTTGGGATATAGATATAGTAATTTTTTATTAAAAGTGTGCGGAGTTCGAGCCTGAACCGAAAATTTAAATATAATCACAGAAAAAGTTAATGATTGGAAAAATGTAAACAGGATCATAAAACACAATAAAAATAAAAGAACAATCTGATTGAAAATGTTTCTTATTACTACGTCTGTATAATCTTACAAAATAGATTAATAATGTTATATTAAATACGACATTGAACAGAACAGCTAAGAATCCAGCACAATGATAACCATTGAACATATAATAAAGATAAGGTATTAGTACAACGAAAGCATAAATAAATTCGACAACTTGAGAAAGTGTAATGTATCGCTTCCACCAAACCGTTTTCCCTAGTGCTGTTAAATAATAATAATAATACATAACAATATGAACACATGTGTTAGCTAATACACCGGTAAATTGTAATGATTGTGTTTGTGATAACCATAAATAGGTTACAATTAAGCCGGTTGTATGATGATAAACAGCAAATCCACCATAACCTGGAACTGACCCAGTCTATATTAAAATCGAACGATGCAGGCATCTCAATCCTAAGTTGGCCTAGGTCAACTTAGAATTCCAAGATGACCTAAGCCAATCTGGAATTGGCCTGAATTCTAAGTTGGCCTAAAACATATATATAATATATACAAAGAGAAAAGAATTGTATGTATATGTTATAGACCAACTTAGAATTCAGGCCAATTACCTGCAAAAATATATTGTACAAAAAAATGCAAATATATATGATATTTCAAAAAAGTAGAGCAAGACTAGATTTTTTTGGTCTACCTCATTTTATTGGTCCTAAAGGTATACGATCTTTTGAGATTACATGATAGCCAAAAGCAATTGCAAGATCAGCTGTATGTTTACAAGTTTCAGGGGTGAGAGTGAAAAATTCGAAATACCTGCCAAGTTTTTCAGGTGAACACATAAAATTTTTCAGGTTTTTTCCAAAAAAACTCAGGAGGCCAAAAAACAGTTTCATTGGACACATTGAGCAGTTCTTTTGTAACAATGTTCATGTTACTCTGCAATTCAGTTCTTTAAGCATATAATATCCTTTTGAATTGAATTTTTTTAACCACTAACTTATGAGTTGAATCTCATAAAACTAGTCTATCTTGTTCAGTTTTTTCGGCTCATTCGATTCATGTGTAACTCGTAACTTTTAAAATGGGAAACAGAACAAGAAAAAATTACAATATGACAAAAGTATACTTTTTCGATTTTCAGGTTTTCGGTTTTTCGAAACAGTTCAGGTATTTCAGGTGAAATCTCCGCCCTGAAATGTATTCTTTGCAAAAGAATCTACACGAATAAAAGTGAGCAGATTCATACCATATCTTAAAATGATTGAATGATGAAAATGGATTGCTACCAAAACAATTAATCCACTCTTGGATACTCATTATTGGATGTGATGTAGGAACAATCGTTTCAAAAATAGTCCATGGGATTGAAATTGTATATTTGATAACATTTTGAGACCATTTTAGTATATATTTGTTTCCATTGGTACTTGATTCACTTCGAAATCTAGATACTTTATTACATACATACTTTATCACATACAGTGAAAAAATATCTTTCAGTACCGTTCTCTTTTCAGGCCCGTTCTCTAAACAGTGTAAAAATTTAATAATTCGCACTCCTTTCTCTTTTCTTACTTTTTCCAAAGGGATTTTCTGATTTTCTTGAAATAACTATCTTACTATAGTATATGATACTTTTCTGATACTTGACGAATAGTCTATAGCTCGTCCTTTAATCCCGAAGAGTTACCCGGTCATTGATTAAGTCTATTAATAAAAAAAGCCTCTAACGATAATACCAATATACCTCTTAAACAAAATCAACAGTTACACACACATATATAGCGAGACAGAGATTAATATGCACGATTAAGCGCCGCTTTTTCGCGAGAACATTTACACGAGTATAACCTGTTTAGCTTACTGTATTACCATCGGCTTACAAGAGAAAAAATCTTGCATTTGATTTCTCCTGGTTCATGCTCAGTATGTCCTAGAAACTATCCATATATTCTGTGATTCCTAAGAATTCGACCGAACAACGGTTTGGTAGCGATACATTAGAACGGTAGAACCTCATCAGATACAATCGTGCAATAGATAGTTCTGAGCTAATTTGCTTTGTTATTGTCAACGCATTTCTTATCTAGTGAGTCATATCATATATATACATATATATACTTCTTCATTCATATTCGTTGGAAAAAGCAGTTATTTATGATAATAGTGAATTTTTCTTAAACGCTTTTATCATCTGATGTTATTGTATAAATCGGATTGCGATATATCATTATTAAAAGAACAACTCAAAATGAAATTGCTTCAAAAATTTTTCTGTCTGATGTTTACTTTTTTTACGACACACAATGTAGCAATATCTTCGAAAAAAACGAAATTTCTTCATGATTGGCCAATACTATTGAAGAGAATCTCAGCAATCGTTTTAATGTATCAATCCATTCGGCGTGCCAGAGAGAGACAACATATGTATTGAAACATGAGCAAGCATATGTCTAAGTCGAATTTAATATATAAATCCACAAACAAAACATATATTTTTTACATAAAACTTCTATTCTTTTCAGTACTACTTTTATTCCAAAATAAAGTATAAAATAAAAATTACATTTCTGTTACATTTCTGTTACTGCTTCGGAAAGATATTTTTCAATTAGAGCCACAATTGTCTGCCTTGTTTTTACTACGCTTGGTGGATCATTGACATTAGCTGAACGAAGATCTAGATGATGTGCTCCTCCGTCAATAATTAGACTGGGTAATTGGTCGCTGATTGGTGTCAATACACCACCGCTTGACCATGGATCCAGATTTCCGTTTGTAAAAATGATATTTGAATGTGACTTTAATGAGCTCACATTTTTACCACCATACTCAATATATGCCCATTCAGCACGTGGTCGTATTTGCCACTGTTTATAACAATCATCCGAATAATTTTGAAAATTCCATGCCATCGGTTCGAACATATCATTTTGACCATCGGAACACATGGGCATTGCCATTTCAGTGCATGCTTGGTAACCCCAACCAAGATCGCCTAAACTAGGTGTACCTAAAATAAGCACCGATAACAAATCAAGTATTAATGATCAAACAAAATCTGATTTTACCTTGAGATCCGATGTCAAAACATTTTGTTGTGCCTGTATAATTAAAATAGACATTCACGCCTGTAACAATACGTTTAACGATGTCAGTGTCGTCATTTTCTTTAAACGATGCTTGTGTGACATTCGCACAAAATACACGAACTGGATATGCTGGTAAATCGCTTAAAAATGATGTTTCATAGGGATAATCAACCTAAAATGGAAGGTAGAAAATGTTTATTGTTCAACAATATATTCGATGCCGCGGCGAGAGAAAAAAGCAGAAGGGGTGTAATTTTTTTGGGAGAAAACCATAGAAGTATGAGAAGACAACACCATCTCCCATCATAATATCAACACAATAAGCACATGATAATGATAACGTTAACAGCCATTTGAACTTTTTTCCTAAGTGAAAGAAAAATTTTGCTCTCAAGTATTTTGGGAGACAAAGTGGGAGAAAGTGTGTTTTCGTTAAATATTGATTAGATTGGTTACCCAATCTGGACAAGAGCTTAGACGAAATTCTTGGGAGAAAGGAGATTATTAAAGAGAAGATTTTTTTCTAAAGGCAGAAGGGGCGTACACTTCCTTACATCACGGCACCGAATATTTATACTGAGGGATCAAAATATATACCATTGCAAAATTTCCGTACATATCCAACAGCCAATTTTTCAATTCATCAACATTGTTTAGTGGATCGCATAAATGGAATAAATCAGTTAACGTTTGTAATGATGACTGTGCTAGACGATTGATGGATGACCATGACTGACGAACGATTTCAACGCAAGATGTACTTTCCCGTAGAAAATCATTGGTAACAATTTGCGAAAATGCTTCACATCTTGTCGAAAACTGTAGAATGGGTGCAGACGCGGCATGAGCAGCAAGAAAAATATGTGGATATTTTATACGTGCATAAGCTAAATAAAAAATCTGTGTAGTTTATCGTACTAAAAACAGCATACGGTTTATAGATAAATGCTTTTCTCAACGTGTAAGATGAATATCAACACTATTAGAGTACCTGCAAGCATGCCACCGTATGATCCGCCAAAAACTATCACTTGTGATTGTTCTGCTCCTCTAACATCTCGGCGAATGTCTTCGATTAAATAAACAAAATCAGCAAGAGCTTGTTCACTAGTTAAATATCTTGTATATTCCGGTTTTGAATAAGAATCATTTCCATACGGTAAACTTTTACCATAATAACGGTGTTCAGCAAACACCACCATGGCATGAAAGGACGGAGCAATATCCCACATAAAACCAGTATTCTGACAAAACAAATCTATGTCTCCCTCATTTCCAGCATAGAAAAATATTGGTGAACCACTAGTCCAAAAATCTTTATTTAAAATGTATCGTTGTTCAAATATATCCGTATTGGAAAATCCAAAATGATCAACATTTTGTGTAAATGTTTGAAATACTGTACATCGAGGATCATCACGAATTGAATGACGTTTTGGGATAGGAAATGTTCGTCTCAATCTGATGGATGACGAAAAATGAACAAAAATTAGCAGTAAAATTAATCGCGATAAATAGTTCATTTTTCTAAGCTATAGAATGCACATTACATTAAAATTGTTATAAAGAGAAATGAAAACAGAGTATAACGATGACTCGAGTGAAATATACAAACATGACTAATCTAATCATTTCGTTGCTTTACTTTTCGAGTCACCGCATGTTTAAAGTGGCAAAAAAAGAAGCAGAAAAGATAAACTGCAACCATGATTGAGTAAAAATGTAAAATTTTGATGAATACTTTGTCATTTCTAATCTGACTACTCATAAATCAGAAGGTTTTACCACAATTTTAAACTGAGAGCGTGTTTATGAATCTTTGACTTCATATTCATCCAAAACTAGCATAATGTAGTTAGCGCATTTGAATAACAAGCCTGATTATCTCCCATATTAATGCAAGAATAGAAGTCAGAAAATAAAGTTTGAAGACGTAATTTTTAAGCAAAAATCCTTCCACAATATTCGTTTGAATACTTTAAACATTTTAGCTTGATAATGACAGTTCTCTAAAAAACAATCAATTGTCTTAGACTGACAATTTTCTATTTATTGTTTTTTTTTACTGATCAGGCGGTTCTACTATCCCCATTTTTCCTTAATTGCGTCCACGTCTAAATGGCTGAGAAAAAAGTCCGTCTTATACTAGTACAAATAGTTATCTTATCGAAAAACAAATACACAATAGAATAGCTTTAACTGTTACATATCATCGCCTAATTTGATTTTTCTAACCTTTTCGAATAAACACATAAATGAAGAGAAAACCGTTGACTGGTATTGTATGGGTGTTATTTCAATTCCTTTGCTTTTACCGTGTGAAATAAACATACCGTGTGGTCCATAAAAAATAAGTGGCTTTATACACTTATTACTTATAGGCTTTAGACTTGGGCAATAATCTTTTCTTCTTACACCCCAGAAGATTAAATCTTTTTTAGAAAACACGGGTTCTGAGATTGTGTAGAAAAGATATAGTGAGTGGTTACTCAGGTGAAACACGTCTTGTAAGACCTTGCAAGATCTGATGTTTTCTTGTGAAAATCTTGTAATAAGGTCTTACGATATGATCATACAAGATCTTATTATGTAAGTCTATTATCTTGTAACTTCTTGTTATAAGATCCTCAAGATCTGGTTATGAGAAGTGACAAGGTCTTGTAAGACCTTATGACAAGAATTCATATGATCTTGTAAGATCTTACAAAATCTTGTACCAGACATTGTTGACTTTTATATATTTTTTTGTCAC